GGCAAGAATTTTTTATCTTTTCTTTTTCTCCCAAATTTAAATTCGGATTCCTCAGACTCTGAGGTGGAAAGCGGCGTATAACCCCCAATAGTCACATCACACAGATTGTGATAACCATGGGAGAATTATGTACAGAAAAGGAAAATAAATTAATTCTGATGCTGAAGAAGGGGAAGGAGGGCACCAAGGGCCAAGGATCTAAGGAGATGTCTTGAAAATGGTGGCAACTGGAGGAGGACATGAATTTGTATGTGCTATAAAGACAGAATTCACATAAGGAGAAATTACTTGGTAACCTAAGAAAACTACCCATGCTCTAGCTGGGTCTGGTTTTCCTCCTTCCCCCTCCTAATAGATGCCCAGGGGACCCTGCAACTCTATCCAAGTTGCAGATAGTGTGGTGGCTTGGACCACAAGCATGGAGCAAGAAGCTAGACTGACTTATTCACAATTACAGATATAAAGGTCATTGCTTTCACAATGATAACTTCCCAAATCATGTAAGACAAGAGGATTTTTTTTGCTGAAAATAATTATTATTTTTCTTGTGAAGGAGATTATCACATTTTAAAAGCAGGAATGTATGCTATTCTTTTACTAAAAATTAATTAAACGTTGTTGAAAACATCTCTGATTTCAAATTTTGCAAGAAATTAAAATAGAATACTACAGTTTACACTAGAGAACTATACTTTCTAAAAATATACTAGCCTTACTCACCTATATATATTTTATTTTTTTTATTATCATCATCATCATCATTATTATTATTATTATTATTATTATTTTGAGACAGAGTCTGACTCTGTCACCCAGGCTAGAGTTCAGTGGCGCAATCTCGGCTCACTGCAACCTTCGCCTCCCAGGTTCAAGCGATTCTCCTGCTTCAGCCTCCCGAGTAGCTGGGATTACAGGCACCTGCCTCCGCACCTGGCTAACTTTTGTATTTTTATTAGAAATGGAGTTTCACCATCTTGGCTAGGTTGGGCTTGATCTTCTGACCTCATAATCCACCGTTCTCCTCCTCCTAAAATGTTGGGATTACAGGCGTGAGCCACCATGCCCAACATTTTATTTTTAGAAAGGCAGTATTTGAAAATCAGTTATGAATTCAAAATTTGCCTTATTCACAAGCAGAAATGTTAATGGTGTCTCTTTTTCTCCTCATTGAATATGCTGCTTAATTTTTCATTTGGCATAATGCATATTTGTTAAAATAAAAAGATACCTATTCAAAAACGTAACAAATTAGTATGTTAAAGTTTTACTCCACAAAAAATAAAATAAGGCAACAGGAAACAAAACATTGTATTTTTCTCTTAGCCAATACAATTTAATATTACCTAAATCTAAAATATGGAATATCTTTATAAACATATAAGGATTTTTGTTTGTTCTTACTACTCAGGCTTTAATTAATTCATTTTTTATTGTCCCTTAATTTTTGGCCTCATAAGATTACAAATAGCTAGAGAGGAAGAAAGAGAAAAGAAAGAACAAGAAAGAAAAGAAAACAGAAAAAACAAAGCTAGAAGTATTACATTACCTGACTTCAAACTATACTCTATAGCTACAGTAACCAAAAGAGCATGGCACTGGTACATAAACAGACATATACAACATTGAAAAAGAATAGGGAATTCAGAAATACAGCTGCACACCTACAGCCATCTGACATTTCAGAAAGTCAAAAAAATGTGACCTCCTATTCATTAAATGTTGCTAGGATAGCTGGCTATTCATATGCAGAAAAATGAAACCTCACTCCTACTTTTCACCATATACAAAAATTAAGATAAATTAAAGTTTAAATGTAAGAGCTCAAAAAGTGAGAAGCCTAGAAGAAAACCTAAGAAACATCATTCTGGACATGGGCCTTGGGAAAGAATTTGTGACTAAATGCATCCAGCAATTTACAATTGCTAAATGAGCAACTGCAACAAAAACAAAAATTCACAAGTGGGACCTAATTAAATGAAGAGTTTCTGCACAGCCAAAGAAACTATCAATGGAGGAAACAGCCTATAGGATGAAAGAAAATATTCACAAACTATGACAAAGGTCTAATATCCAGAATTTATAAGAAACGTAAATGATTCAAGAAGCAAAACAATAAATAACTCCATTAAAAAGTGATCAAAAGATATGGACACTTTTCTATACAATACATGCACGTGGCCAAAGAAACATATGAAAAAATACTCAACATCATGAATCATCATAGAAATGTAAATCAAAACCACAATAAGATGCCATCTCACACGAGTCAGAATGGCTATTGTTAAAAAGCCAAAAAAACAACAGATGCTGGCGAGGCTACCAACAAAAGGTAACATTTATACAATGTTGGTGGGAATGTAAATCAGTTCAGTCGCTGCAGAAAGCACTTCGGAGATTTCTCAAAGAACGTGAAACAGAACCACCATCCAACCCAGCAATCCCATTACTGTGTATATATCCAGAAGAAAACAAGTTGTTCTGTTGCAGCTTTCTTACTCCTGTAGTTTGATGAGCAGGAGGGAGTGGTGCCTAGCAGCTTCTTCACTCCCATAGTTTGACGAGTGAGAGGAAGTGTTATAGCTCTTTCATTCGTGCAGTTCCGTGAGTTCCAAGTTCTTCTCTCAAGACCGGGAGGAATGAGGTACGTGGACACTGGAGAGTAAGTAAGGCTCAGTAAAATTTATTGAGTGAAAGAAACACTCTCAACAGTGAGAGGAGACCTAAAAGTGGGTAGCCTTATGTGAGGCTGAGTCCAGGCTTTTTATGGGCTTAGAATGGAGAATGCATGCTGATTGATATTGGTGGGCTTGGAAAAGACACTGTTCGATTGGTTAAAAGGCATCATTCAGAAAGAATCAATCGAGAGGGTGGTTAAGCTGGGGATGGGAGTTCTCCCTCTGTCAGTGGATTCTATCTGGAACTACTAGTAGCTTGGTTTTTGGGTTTTAGACTCTCCTGGGCTTGAAGGTGGAGGTTCACCTGGACCCAACCCTGTCAGCCTAGGAATTTGTCTGTCTCCTGTTGCTATCAGTTCTACCAAAAGGACACATGCATTTGTAAATTGAATACAGAGCAATTAACAATAGCAAAGACATGGAATCAAACGAGGTGTCCATCAACAGTGGACTGGATGTGGCAAATATACACTATGTATCACCAAGAAAATGTGGGATATATACTCCATGGAATACTACACAGTCTTAAAAAGGAATGAAATCATATCCTTTGCAATAACATGAATGCAGCTGAAGGACATAATCCTAGGTAAATTGCTGCTGGAACAAAAAACCAAATATCACATATTTTCACTTATAAGCAGGAGCTAAACATTGTGTACTTGTGGACTTATAGATGGGAACAATAGACACTGGAGACTATTAGAGTGGGGAGTAAAGAGTGGGGCAAGGATTGGAAAACTAACTCTTCTGTACCATGCTCACTACCTGGGTGATGAGATCATTTGTATCCTAAGTCTCAGCATCACACAATATATCCATATTACAAACTTAGACGTGAGCCCCTCAAATATAATAAAAACCGAAGTTAATTTTTTTAAAAAGAAAACATCAGTCGTATAACTGCAAGGAACTAAATTCGGAAAACACATTGAATGAACTGGAAAGAGGACCCAGAGTCTCAGATGGAACCACAGACCTGACCAAGAAATTGATTTCTGCCTGGGAAGACCCTGAGCAGCAGGCCCATTTCATCTTTACCTGCACTCGTAACCCATGGCCATTCTGAAATCATACATTTTTGCTGTTTAAGTTGTTAAAAAAAAAAAAACAAAAAACACACACACACACACAAAACCCACACAAATGGAGAATGAGGAATAGCTCTGCCATAATGATCACACAAATATAAGGCCTTAGAATGTCAGGTTGTGATACCGATCTCTGTAAAAGAAGTTGTTGCTTGCGTAGCCCTGCATTTTGTGCTTCCTCCTGACTTTTTAGAAGCAAATTTGGGTGGTTTAGAAACATAAACATGGTGGTAACACAATTTTTAATACAAACCGATCATACTTTGCTCTCAGAATGTAAATTTTATGAAAGAGTATGTATCCCACCTACCTTTACTCAGATCTGTTCTAAGTTACTAGGAAAGTGAACCATAGTAAATTTGCATGAATAACAATGCTTTCTGTGCTTGAATTAGTCCATCTTCCTAGAAGCATTACCACAACTATATTTTACTTCTCAGAGTCAACTTGTACATACTAATTGAATTGGGCACCCTTGTGGTTAGATCATCACATCCCAAATAAACTCACTCATCAGCAATCACCTTTATCTCCCACTTGCCTTTATGCAATTATCTTAGCAAGAGTCATCAGGGGCAAACAAATTTCCATTGTTGTCTTTAGCAAGAATGTAATGTAGAACAAGTAAGCTATGGAAACACCAATCTAGACAAACAGTGAGCTTTTAAAGATTTTTAACCAGGGCCAAATGGGATGCAATTTAGAACTCTGTTGATCACATTTGAATGCATGCCCAGTTCAATGGCATTTAGTTGAACAGTGCTGCTTATCTGGTTGATCAACTATAGACATTAAAAGCTTGATTTAAGTTGCTATATACAAAGTCAAAGAATTTAATGTTAGTGAAAAGGAGCTGGAAGCAAAGAAAAGTTTCAAATGAAATTATCAATCAATGGTTTAATGAGACAATATGGGATTGCCAAAGCTCAAGACTTTGTGTCAGAAAATGTATACTGGCTCATCTTTTCATTATGACAAGGGCAGGAAAATCTTTTGTCAGAGAGAGTTCACCCTATTAACTTAAAAAATGTGTAAATGAATACCCATCAAGGAGTAGAGTTAGGGTAAGAAAACAGACCGTGGAAACAAAACATTATTAACTATCAAATTATGCAAAATGATGACAAACGGGATTATATTAAGACACTAAAATTCTAAATATAATTGCATTTTCAAAATTTTAAACTCTTTTTAGGTAAACTGTTCATCAATATTCTATGGCCATGAAAAAGAAATGAAGTATTTACTACTTTCTGAGAATTTACATATTTCACATGAAATCTAGTTTGAGGACTATGTATATGTGTAAAGTACTCTGCAAAGTAACATCCAACACTAACTTCCAACTTAAAGTATATGTATCTACACTCATTTGTGATTTCCTCCAGTGACTAAACTTAGCCCAATTTTAAGCACATTGTGAATGAACACTGTGTCATCTTTCACAATATGGGTGCACATGGAGGAGAAAATATGCTTAGTAATTAGAGTCCATACATGGGGTAAAGCATCATCACCCTGTTACATTGAACCTCTTAGTTTATGAAAGAGTTACCTTTAGATACTGTTCTCTGAGCTAGGACTTTTACGTGTGACCATTTATAATAGGACCCTATTTATAATAGGGACAACAATATCCACTGCAATTTTACTGCCTCACATATGTCTTGGTGATTGCTTTGTTGACTGCTGCTTTCACATCCTTATTTCTCAGACTGTAGATCATTGGATTCAACATAGGAATTACTGTGGTGTAAAACACGGCCACCATTTTCCCCCGCTCTATGGATTCCTCAGTGGGTCTCCTGAGATACATGAAGATGAGGGTCCCATAAAACATAGAAACAGCCGTCAAGTGGGACCCACAGGTGGAGAACGCCTTCCTCCTGCCATCGGCAGAGCGCATGCGTAGCACAGCTACTACAATGAGAGTATAGGAGATGAGGACCACTGACAGGGAATATGTGAAGTTAATTCCAGCAATAACAATCATTGTGATTTCTTTGATGTGCACTCCCCCACAGGCAATCTTGATGAGAGGAGGATCTGCACAATAGAAGTGATTGACTTCAAAGTTTCCACAGAAGTATAAGCCATAAGTCCATAGTGTGCATATTAGGCTGACAGAGAATCCATAGACATAAGGCACAGAGATGAGCCGAACACACACAGTCCTGGACATTTTACTGCCATAAAGCAGAGGGTTGCAGATGGCCATGTACCTGTCAAAGGCCATCACAGCCAGGATATAGACCTCCACGTGGACAAGCGCAATGAAAAAGTAGCACTGAACTAAGCATCCCACATAGGAAATGCTTTTTGTCTCTGATAATAAGTTTTCCAGCATTTTGGGGGTAACGTTGGAGGAGAAGCACACGTCCACAAAAGACAGATGACTCAGGAAAAAGTACATGGGGCTCTGAAGCTGAGGACTGATGCTAATCAAAATGATCATACCAATATTTCCCAGCAGAGTGATCATGTAAACCGCTAGGAACACCACAAAAAGGAGAACCTGTAGCTCCTGACGACAGGTCAGCCCCAGGAGGGTAAATTCTGTCACATCTGTGAAATTAGGCATTGCCTTAGTATAGGCCAAGTCTGTGTTGCCTATGGAGAAATTTTTTTAAAAAGAAAGTAAATGGATTTGTTTTATTCTTGAAACTTTGAGTTGCCTTTGTCCTTATTTTAATTAAAATAATTTACAAACAATGTACACTTTGCAAAATGTACAATGCGGTGTATAAATATACTATACGTAAAATGAACTGAATACATAACACAATAGGCACGTCAGTTTTAGTTCTGAGCTAAGTTCCCTTTGCTATAGATGTCCATGATTGTAGTTTCACTTTTTTGGCTCACCATAAATGTCAAACTAGGTAAAGAGCTGCAGATGCTGTGGTCAGAGATTTTCCTATATAAAAATTTCTGATCTCTACTGATTTCCTGTCACTAATAGAATTTGACTTGGGTTAATGTTACTACTGTATGAAGTATAAAATATATGAAATAAAGCATCAAGGCATCTAAGAGACATTAACACTACTTCATTTTGTTTCAGTCATTGTGTGATGTACTTTTATTTTACACAAAATCATTAGCGCTTTAGCATTTAGCAAAAGTTATTGCGGGTTTTGCTGTTACTTTCAATGGCAAAAATGCAATTACTTTTGTACCAACCTGATATTAGTTTGTTTTGCTTACCTTAAAACTCCTTAAACTGTCTTGCTAAGTAGTTACATTTAATGGAAATTCAGAAATAGTTATACATGCGATTTCTACATGCCCTGATCTTTAGATTCACTAAACATAATACAATAATCCAGTATAATTAAAACTCTCTAAGAAATATTTTTCTAGAGGCAACAGTCTCAGTCTTGTAATATTTGTAAGAATAGCTGTTATTGAATGTTCATAAAAACTCTTCCATGAAAACGTCCTATAAAACAGGTTTTCTTTGCGTGCCCATTTGCAAATGAGGAAACTAAACACTGATAGATTAAGAAAGTCTCCCTTGGTCAGAGGTCTACTAATTAGCAGAACTGGGATGCAAAAAAAATCACTTTTGTGATGTGTCTTTGACAATATTCCATTGGTGCATCTTCGATAGCCTCTTCTACCATTATATTTCTTTTCATTTAAAATTCAGTTTGCTCATCCTCCACAATGGGAGGAAGTTATCTCTTTCAGTTCATCTTCAATGGACTTTTAAGAGCTTTGGTTACCCTAAAGCAGCCTAAACCACTGAGATAGTAAATCACTACAACTCTCTGCTTCTCTAAGTTTATCATCCCAGGATCAGATGATAATGATTTCCAGGAGAAAATAAATTTAATACATAAATGTGTATCATCTATCAAAATAATCAAGAAGATTGAATTTGCAATTTACAAATAAAACCCAAAATTCATTTCTATTAACATTTCAGGAGTTTTTAATGAAGAAAAACGGTGAAGGTATAAATTACTGGACCAATCATGCCCCTATATCCCCAACTCCATTCATACATATATTTAAACAATATTATGAAAGTTAATAGTTTTTGCCTGTAAAGGAGAATGAGAAGATAAAAAATGTGAAATGAAATGAAGAGTTTTGCGAATCTTCATTATAATAAGCTCATTCTTACAAAGTTTTGAATAAACCAGGGATAGAAATACAAAAAGTTCCCAGTAATATAATTTCATACAAGAAGACACTCTGATAACAAATAAGTCTGTGAATAAGGTATTAGTTTCCTCTTCAAGACAGAGAATGAAATTAAAAGATTTGACTACATCAACCTCTGTTGTAATGAGTGAGGAACTTGCAGACCTACCTTCAGCATACAGAGTAGCAAATGATAACTTCTCAGTATTTATAATAATGTCCTAAACATTAGGAACACTGGGATCATCTCCCTAAGGGACTATTCAGGTAATTACGAAAAAAAATAATAAGTAAAATTGTAGACACAGCTCAGGTGTAGGAGCAGTTAAGGAGTGTGAATGAGAAGAAGAATTTTTAAATAAAATAGATCAAAATTCTTCATCAACAATGTAATCTTATCTCTCACTTTCACATGGGTTCTGTCTTTTATTTACACATTGACAATTATGCATTTCAGCAAGATATTGGTTTGAATCATTTAAAATTTCAGTGAGTCCCTTTCTTGCTGGACAACTGTTCTAAAAAGTGCCATCTGTCAGGACAAATGATCATCAGAATGCATGTCCCATGCATCTCGTGGTTATGTTCAGATGTCAGATGCCTCAAAGAATAAATCCTTGGTAAAATGAGTACATGTAGAAGTCATTACTGAAGTCGGTCAGGTCTGGGATTATACCTTTGGTATAACACTTTCACTATGTTACTTTGGACGAGCGATGCACTTCTGAGCCTCAGTGTACTCATCTGTAGAATAGGGAAACTATTATCTTACATTTTGGTTGAGATGATCTTAGAATAATATAGGGATAACTCTCTTCCCAATGACTGCTGCATGTGAAGCACACAAAAAGTGTTCATTATTTGTGCAGTTTTACCTCTAAACAGTTCACTAGCATTATCTTACCACCACTTTAGGATTCTGACTAATACTATCCTTACCTTGAAGAATAACATTACTCCTATGTGAAATAAGTATGATGTGCCTGGCACAGTGGCTTCTACCTGTAATCCAGCACTTTGGGAGGCCAAGGGGGCTGGATCACCTGGAGTCAGGAGTTCAAGACCAGCCCGGCCAACATGGTGACACCATGTCTCTACAAAAATACAAAAAGTAGCTGGTCATGATGTCAGGTGCCGGTAATCCCAGCTATTGGGAGGCTGAGGCAGGAGAATTGCTTGAACCCGGGAGGCAGAGTTTGTAGTGGGTCGATATAGCACCACTGTACTCCAGCCTGGGCGACAGAGCAAAACTCCCTCTCAAGAGAAAAAAAAATGAGAGAGAGAGAGATAAGTAAGATTTACAACCTTAAAAGTAAGTGGATGGGTGACAAAAAGTGACTTGTCCGAGGTCTTCCACAAATGCACTTGAAATTTGGAAACTCAAACCAGAAACATGGTTTGACCACGGACCTTGACTCATCATTCTTTATGTTATCTAAACTAACTCTCCAAAAGAATAAACAGAAATGCATTTTGCCTTTGAAAAAAACAGGTAACAAAGACGGTTCAAATTTACCTGCCAACATGCTGAAAGTGATCAAATGCTTTCAATACACATTTTGAAATTTATTAATAACAAAAAACTAATTTGGCATATCAAGAGTTCCCCCAAAATGGCAAATAAATGTTTGTATTGCCAAGATAAATTACTTTTAACTTTGGAGTAATCCCAAAAGAATGAGTACCTCAGACATTAAAAGTCTCCAGAGGTTTGACATATTTCAACCAGACACAGTAATACTATAATCGAATCTAAATTAGTAATTTGTTTATGTATGCAAAAGGTTTTAAAATGCTGCCCATTATTTATGTGTACGTATGTGGAAATGAGTTCATTGCACTTACAGTTTCTCTTGATGTAAATAAAATTCAATCATGGACAAAGAAGAATGCTTTTTTCACACTTCCATCAACAGCAGATAAACATTTGTTTTTCTTCACAACCTTATGAGCATCTAATTTTTTTGGCTTTTTGATAATAGCCATTCTTACTGATGTGAGATGGTATCTCACTGTAGTTTTGATTTCCATTTTGTTAATTATCAGTGATGTTGAGCTTTTTCATGTGATTCTTGGCCTCATTATCTTAGTTCAACCATTGTGGAAGACAGTGTGGTGATTCCTCAAACACCTCAAAACAGAAATATCCAGCAATTCCATGCCTGGGTATATGCCCAAATGAATATAAATTGTTCTACTATAAAGACACATGCACATGTATATTCATTGCAGCACTATCCACAATAGCAAACACAGGTAATCAACCTAAAAACCCATCAGTGATAGACTGGATAAAGAAAATATACATATACATCATGGAATACTAGGCAACCATAAGAAAAACAATGAGATCTTGTCCTTTGTGAGAACATAGATGGAGCTTGAGACCATTATCTTTAGCAAACTAATGCGGGAACAGGACACCAAATACCTCGTTTTCTCACTTAGAGGTGTGAGCTAAATGTTGAGAGTACATGGACACATAGAGGGGAGCAACGCACATTGAGGCCTATGAGAGGGTAGAGGTTGGAAGGAGGGGGAGGATCAGGATAAATAATGGGTGCTAGGTTTAATACCTGGGTGATGAAATAATCTGTACCACAACCCTCTATGACACAAGTTTACCTATAGAACAAACCTGCGCACCTACCCTTGAACTTAAAATAAAAGTTAAATCAAAAGAATGCTTTTTTCTCAGATGACGCCAATCTTATTTTATATTCACATCTTTGCAGATGATTCTTAATTTTTTAATGTATAATTTAAAATGTATAAATTACATTTCTTTAGCTGTATATTGTTTGCATCAAAACAGGTGATTATTTATTTATTTGACCTGAGGATGTAGACTTGATGAAATAAGCTAAGTTGTAGCTTCATCCTTATGCTTCATGACATAAGGTTCAAGAGAGATGTCAAATTATGTTCCTATTATGTCAGAAAATGTTATTGATAACAACAAATAGTGCGTCCTAAATACTGAATTTATTTCAAATGTAAAAGTTAACTAGAATATGTAGGTGCCATGTGTTGGTCACAGGTATACCAAATATCCCACATGAGTGGAATGTAATTCATTCTGTGGAATTTGGAGAGCCATGGTTTTACAATGACAGCTTCTTCCACTAATTATCCTCCTACTTTTCAGTCAGAGTGAAGACACCAGCAGGGGCAAACCAGAGTCTGGTGACGGGCAATCGTAGAGTTGAAACACAGCAGTTCCCAGGATCTGTGAAAGAGAGACACTTACCATGTTGTGTTTCTTAAGAAACACCAAAAAGTTAAAAAGCATGAAATACAATAATAGTTATTTTCCAAGTAGTAGTCTCTGAACAGACCCTACACAACATAATGAAAGATGCATTAAACAATAAATAATCTCATAACAATTAGACCAATATTTTATGTCTTCATATTGGAAAACCAAATTAAATATCATGGGGTTTTTTTTCTGCCCCAAATTTGTTTTTAAGTGGGCAAATAAATATTTCTTAAATTCTTGCAACTGTACTTTTCATTAAGAAAAAGTCTTTTGGTTGCAGCTAAGTATTTGAGCAACTTCCCTTAGTACACCTATGAACTTTGGCACACATCACCGTTTCAATTAATTTATTCGTATGTAATTAATCTCCATACATCAACAGAAATGAATCATTCCACCTTACATTTTCTCAATTTGCACCATTTTTATTTTTCTTTTCAACCCACAGAATATCTTTATCTTAGTGTTCATAGGCACTGGGTAATAACTGTTTTCCAAACAAATAATAGAAGATAAAATTGAATCAAATTTGATTTTATTTTGTTTAACATGATCTACTGATCACTTTTGTCATGGCCTCTTTCACATCCTTGTTCCTCAGACAATAGATCATGGGATTCAACATGGGGATCACTGTGGTATAGAACACAGCCACCATCTTCCCCTGCTCCACTGACTCCTCTGAGGGATGTCTGAGATACATGAAGATCAGAGTACCATAGAATATGATGACAGCTGTCAGATGGGACCCGCATGTGGAAAAGGCCTTCCGCCTTCCTTCTGCTGAGCGCATTCGCAGAATGGCAATGAGGATAAATAAATAAGAGATGATAATTACAGTCAGGGAATATGTGAAGTTAATGCCGGCAAGTATGATCATCGTATATTCTTTTACAAATGTCCTGGCACAGGCCATTTTGATGAGAGGTGGATCTGCACAGTAGAAATGGTTGGTCTCAATTTTTCCACAGAAGTACAAGCCGTAAGTCCATAATGTTGCTGCCAGACTCGTCAGAAAACCATAAATGTAAGGGAAGGAAATCAGTCGAATACAGACAACCCTTGACATTTTACTGCCATAAAGCAGAGGATTTCCAATCGCCATGTATCTATCAAAGGCCATCACAGCAAGAATAAAAATTTCCACATGGACAAGCGCAATGAAGAAGAAACACTGTACTAAACAGCCAGCATAAGAAATTGTTTTTTTATCTGATAACAGGTTTTCCAACATTTTAGGGGTGACATTGGAAGAAAACGACACATCAACAAATGACAAGTGACTGAGGAAAAAGTACATGGGGCTGTTAAGCCGAGGACTGACCTTGATTAACATGATCATGCCAATATTGCCCACCATGGTGATAATGTAGACCACAAGGAAGACGATAAAGAAGAGAACTTGCCATTCCTGATGGCTGGTTAGCCCCAAAAGAATGAACTCTGACACATCGGTGAAATTGAGCATTTTCTCAATTCTAAGTCAATATCAGTTACAAAATTTTTGATAACTAAAATAAAATAGACGAAAAAATTAGGATGTTTACTTATTAATTTATACCTTTAGATCCTCCCTTTATACAATATCTATAAGCACACTGCATTATTTTCACCAATCTTTTCTCAGTGCTGTTACGTAATAGGCTCTACAATGAATAAATGTGGACAGTCCCTATTATGTAACAATTATACAAAGTATAATTGTATACGCTGATATTAAGTATTGTGAGTAGTCACATTTCCAAGATTACTTCATTACTTCTTAAATTTCCCTCATTTCCAATGATGGCATGTTTGGAGTTTTATATTTTAAAGACAGTTACAGGGGATTATAGTTATTTTCATAATAGAACTTAAAAAGTGTGCATTTTTACCTAATCTCTTGTTCATTATAAGCATATTCTCAATGATGAGAAGAAAATCATATGATTAATTCATCAGCCTAAAATGTTATAAAATATTTTTAATCTAATCTCATTTGCATTATTTTCAAGTAATGAAAAACTGATGATAGTAGCCATCAAAGTCAAGTTAAAGGGTGAATTATTTGTCCATGTTCACACTGTATCAACATGTCCTGGATATGGACTCCCTCCTAACTCTAGTATAAAATTATAATCCACTAGATATTATATACTGTTATGTTCTAGAGATTCAAAGAGATGTACAACATACAGATTAATGTCAGTACTTATGAAGCTACTAATGTAAATAAATACTTTCTAAAACTTGGATGTATTCTTACAGAGGTATAATAGGGACAGAAATTTAGGAAGTGATTGATTCTCCTTTGAGGGTTCAGTGGAATTCTAGGAAGATTTCTTGTATATTTTGCAAATTTATTTTCAAATATAGGATGTATCATATAGGAAATTTCTTCTAGAAAATGTTACTCAAATTCTATTTCTAAGAAAACATTAGCGTTTGGCATGATCTTACTAGATACAATAGAGAATAATCCACAAGTTTTTCTCCATCAAATGGGACATCTCTTTGCCCTGTCAAATCTCTTAGTGATTCACAGTCTATCTAGTAGTTATTTACTGTACACATCATTCGTTTAATATACAAATTTACACTCACACACTCCCACACACACTCACACACCTCTATGTATATACATATGTGTGTTTATATATACACATATACCTATAAGTATGTAAACATACATAAAGCTTATATATATTTCTCTCATATATGTATGAGACATTAATTAGATATTTTGTCATTAATTAGATATTTTGTCAATGAGCAGTCACATTCTGTGGAACACAGAGTGCAAATATATCTAATAAGAATCTTGAGACAGCCTTTCAGCAGGAAATATATTTGTTGGAGATGGGATTGTGTCAAACCTTCTAATGGCTATATATTATCATTACAGCAAATGATTATTCCCAAGACCCTTCTTGTAACCTGCAACGTTAAACTGTATTCAATCACAGTGTGATGAAATTTATCCGTATTATTACTGGTTAGCAGTTACCCAAAAAATTAGTAGTCAGGAAGGTAAATCTCAATGGATAGTAAAAATAAGTGAATATTTACCCATAGTAACAATCCAAAACTTTTCAACCACAAACTTGGAAAGAACATTTTTCTATGACTAGAGGAGAAAATTACTAGCTGAAACAGATTACATTCTACGTGGCTCCAGAGGTTTGGTCTAATTAATAAAAATTTGAAGGATTAATTAGTAGGTACATTTTTTTAAATGAATAATAGTTAAAGTTCTAAAAACTATGTATACTGTCTTAGAATATATTTATATATAGACTGCAAAATACTTACAGAGTTGTTAAAATCTCTAAGGTCCTTAAATTCGTATCCGAACAGAAATTACAGACATATCAACAGATAACTCCAGATTTCTGATTCAACAGTTTATGCCCGCGGCTGCCCGAAATGTTCTTGCTGGCAATAGAGTGATTCTTATTTGGAAAGTCATATCTCATTCCGTGCTGAAGGGTGATTCAGCACAAACAAGGATGTAGAAGATGGCATTGTCGGTACTCTCCAAAAGCTAAATACAAAGAGCCCTGAGTGATGGTTATCCAGGTGATGAATAGCATTAGTAAAATTACAGGAAACTAGGGGTTAGATATGATCCTAGGAGGTGCAAGGTGTACAAAGAAATAGAGATTAGGGGACCTCAAGAGTATTTAGAGAATTTCCTCATTACCTAAATTAAAAAACACACACATAATCTTTCCTTATTAAATTACTCTATTTCAAATTAAATTGCCAATAAATATGGATTCTTTTCCAGACCAGGTATGAAGCAGTATTAACTATCTTAGTTAAAGAATTCTGTTCTATCATCAGAGCTTAGTTGGATCCAGGCTCTATGACTTATTTTATAAAACTGCACTTGTCTTATTCTTGTTTTGTTTTGCTTTTACTTTTTATGTTCCTCAGTAGGACTTAACAATAATAATAATATTCATTTCATTGTGTGTTTGTGAATATGAAAAGATATATATTAACACATAATACATATGAAAATGATTATCAGATACACTCCTTTATTCATTTGTAATTATCAAATAATATAGTCTTACTGAAAATGTATCTCTTTTATGTATCTCAACACATACACACATAACGTAGATAAAATCATGAATGCATTCCTATAAATCGTAGAAGAAAATCTCCAATGCAAGCTCCATCTGACAATTCCAGATAGATACATTTTTCACCAACCTGAGAATGAAGAGAAATATTCCCAATGTGGATGCAGAGTTGAAAAGTGCATGCTATATATGGGAATGGTAAACACTTTCAACCTGACGAAAGAGAAACTGGGAAAAGTCCACAGTGGAAGTCTCCCTTAACTGCTGATTAGAAAGCAAGGAGCAATTAAGATTTTTTTTTCCCATAGAAATGGTCCTGTGGAAGAAGTGCATCTCTAGAAAGAGAGCCAACTGTTGAGTGTGTGGGGTTTTTTCATTAGAGTTTTCTACAATTTTATTTTCACCCTAACTCCAGTTATTTCGAATGAGTACTAAAATCAAATACAATTTGGGAGGGGATTTGTATCACACTAAACCTGTTTATGGGGTAATCCAAACTGTGTATATCCAGTTCATGCTCTATACTTCACATTCTCTGCTGTAGGGTTTTTCAGGGAAGATGAGTCAACTATTATTCCCTCTAATTAAAAATATAGCATATAAAAGCAGAAAAAAATACATTTTCTTCAATTCCCTCATTTTATAAATAACAAAAGTATTACTCCAAGTAGTAGTAGTAATAATAGCAGCAATAATGCATTTTTGAAGTAACACACACCAGATACTGTGCTAATTTAATTATTGTAACTCAACCCTGAGGCAATTAATATTATTATTTTATAGACAAGAAACTGAGTCTTTCAGAGGTTCAGTGACTTGATCAATGTCACACTTTCAATGAACTAGATTCCTGATTCCAGAATTTGTACCATTAACCCATCTCATCCTTTTGTCCAACAAGTAACCATTACAGGAAAAAGAGACCAAATTTCTTATTTCCTAATCCTAAAAGACTCATTTTTGTTACATGACTGGTATACATGATACATTCTATCATGGTCTTTATGGACTTAAGGTAACACAAATCTGTTTTTGTATAGCCAAACAATTGTGGATTGTTTCAGTGTCATGTGCAGTTGTCACTTTACTTGGGTGCCTGAAAATTTTCTCCCACAGCTGAAACTTGCTCCCTCTTCTGGCCTCACCACTGCCCCTATGTTAACACCAGCCATGTTTATGTTCCTACAAAACAATCTCGATTCTCATTTATTACGTTGTGGAGAAAATTGCTGGTTTCTCTACTCATACCTTGTTCCTTTTTCATGGTAATACAATTTTGATAAACGGGCCCCTGACTGAATTGCCCCAGCCCTGCCCCAGTATTTATAACAGTATTTGGCACATGGTAGTTTCACAAAATATTTGTTAACTGATGAAAACAGTTAAAGTGATCAAGTTTTCAATCGTTGATTAGATAGATAGGAGAGGTACACATCTAAGTATTCTTAAATACTTCTCAGAATAATGTTGAGATGTTTCAGACACAAAATGAAGTTGTAGTTTAACACTGAAGAACTTTGGTTAGGACTGCAAGTTAGAGCTCTGAGTGCATCGAGAGAGAATAATTGTTGGCGTGAGAGAATAATTGTGCTACTTATTGCCAGGAGTTTACTATCTATAGAAGTCACGGGCCTCACATTATAAAGGGTAAACTGCAGTTCTTTGAACACAGACTGTTTTTCAGTTGCAAATTAAATAATTTTTATCTGTAATAATATTGTGTTAGGTTTAATTTTTGAGGTCATTCTCTACAAGACACTAAATAATCTCATGTGATTTTTTTCTGGGTTTTATGATGTAAATGTGCTTATCGGTGACTGTGATAGGCTGTGAGAACTACTTATTTAGCACACAGAAATATAGATAAGACTCATTCCACATAGCAAGAAAGTAAGCTTTTCTTATTCTAGTCCTAAAGTCCTCTCCATGATAGAAAGAAGGTAACTTAACTCAAGAGTTGTTTACTTGAATCATGCAAATGTTGTCTTCTCTTAAACACTTCCTGGAGGTTCCCAGGTAAAATTAATAATCTCTGCTCCTGAATTTTGACAACCCTTAGCTCATATTGCTCATATCGTAGCTACCACATTTTATTACAGTTCATTTTAAGTGCGTGTTTCATAATGCTAGACTATGAATAGGTTGAAACCAGTCACAGTGTCTTAACCATTGTTGCATCTTTATTACATAATACTAAGTATTTTGCTAGATACTGTAGAAAACACAGTAAAAAACGTAGTGTTTCCTGTCCTACTTGCTCACATTGGGATGCACACCTCACGCACCCCAAGAAATACACAGACCACACTGACCCACCAAACTCATCACGTGCCTCTAGCACATACTCCAAGATGCATACCTCTGTCTCAGGGTCCAGGACAACTCAGACTTCTTTAATTGATTAATTTTAATTTTTAATTTTTGGTTATATAGTAGGTGTATATATTTATAAGATTTTGTGGTTTGAAGTTTGTAGGATT